TCAGGGATCTAGGGTAAAATTAAATACCACTGTTCTATTAAAAGAACATAGTAAAAACATGATACCTAAAAATATTTTGCTCATTTATAGATCAGTGCCTTGTTCAGCCATCATCAGAGAAGCTTCCTCCCGCAGCCGATGAGAACAAATACAAAGACTCACAGACAGATATTATGTAGAGAGCTAGAGACCTTGGGACACTTAGCCCTAAACTGCTTGTCTCCATCAAACCCTCCATCAGAACCCAGGAAACTCTGAGAAATAGATGGCAGTAAGAACCCAAAAGCATGGAGGACATCAGGGGAACAAGACCCCCTAAATCAACATGATCAAAGCTCACACAAACTCAGAGACTCAGGAAACATGTACAGGGCCTGAACGGGCTACATCAGATGTTGTCCTAGAGCTGAAAGAAGAAGTGGACACATGTCCCCATCACTAATTGTAGACGCAATTGATGATGGATAACCACTTGCAAATGAAAGTTTAGTCTCCTTGAAGGGAGTCTCAATTGGGGGGATACACTACTCTTCTGGGTAGGCTGCATGCTCAGCAGTAGGTGGCCAGCAGAAAATGAACTCAATAGCATCTTTGCAGGGTTATTATCTCTTGTGTCAAAGTTTTGTGGGGAGGTGTTTGCTGTTGATTTTTAATTTTATGTTGTCTTTTTTATTTTTACTTTTATTTTATTTAATTTTATCTTATTGATATATTTTCTCTTTTTTTGCCCTACAGGTCCTGTGTGTGTGTGTGTGTGTGTGTGTGTGTGTGTGTGTGTGTATGTGTGTGTGTGTGTGTGTAAATTGATATATGTGCATGTATGTATATGTCACATATAATATATAAAGTGCTACAATTCAGTGTTTTTAAGGGCTTCTAGAATGTGAATATGTGGGGGTCTGCATCTGTATCTATTTATTGTGCCTTCTCTTGGGCTCTTATCCTTCTTGGTATTTGTCTTGTCTCATTCTGATCTATTACTTTTTATTTTATATTACATTTTATTATAGTCTTATATTTTATTATTATCCCTTTGAATTCTATTGTATAATAAAAGACAGAAAGTAGATAGATCTGGATGGAAGGTGAGGTGGGGAAGAACTGGGAAGAGTAAAGGGAAGGGAAACCATAATCAGGATGTATTATGTGAAAAAAAATCTACTTTCAGTAAAAAGGAAAAAATAGAAATAAAAATAAAAAAGAACATGATTGTAAAAAAAGGTTTATGTTGAAATGACTCTGCCTCGATTTGTGATACAGTTATTAGGAAGTATCATAAAAGCATATGTGATGAAAATATTAAAATGTAATGGGTCTTTCTGTGAGCCCCATAGAAGGTAAACACCAAAACCAAGGTATAAAAGCTTTTCATATCAGCATAAGCCTAAGTTCATTGAAAAGTCCATGAAGGTGATATAGTCCTGTACTTTTCTACTCAGTATTTTACCTTTGGTACTCTGCCTAGCACCTGTTATACAGGACTATGAAGTTCATAGGCAATGGTAGGAAAAGATGGACAGGAGGAAAGATGGCAAGGAGCTTTGTTGGTTACTTCTCTTTCACCACGCTTGACTTGTGATTATTATGGAAACCCTTTGCCTCATATCTCTTTAACAATTTTATGCAATAGAAATGGTGGGAAATAAAGGGTGATAGCATGTTTTGTTTTGGTAGGGGGTGTTCGTTTTGGGCTATTGTTATTGTTGAGTTTCTACGTAGCTCACTCTGCTTATACCTCTACTGGAATTACAGGTGTGTACCACCACATCTGGCTTTCAAAGAGATCTATCTACTTTCTGTCTTTTATTATACAATAGAATTCAAAGGGATAAAAATAAAACATAAGACTATGATAAAATGTAATATAAAATAAAAAGTAATAGATACTCCACAAAACACACAGTCCATTTACAAGAATCAAATCAGGTTGCAGATAAGGACATACCAAATGTTTACTGCCAAAAAAAAAAAAAAAAAAAAAAGTCTAGTTAATACTTTGGTCACATATGGTGACACTGTATTGCCATAAATCATTAGAAATAATGTTGGTATTACCCCCTTTTAAAATCATGGTGTAGCCCCCTGGCAGTGGGATCAGAATCTATCCCTAGTGCATGAGATGGCTTTCTGGAGCCCATTACCTATGATCGGAAGCCTTGCTCATCCTTGATGTAGAAGGGAGGGGCTTGGTCCTGCCTCATCTGAATGTACCAGGCTTCAATGACTCCTCATGGGAGACGTTTTAGAGGAGGGGATAGAGGGTAGGTCAGAGGAGGGAGTCGGGAGGAAGTGGAAGGAGAGATGAGAGGAGCATCTGTGGTTGGTATGTAAAATGAATAAAATGTTCTTTAATAAAAAATAAAATTTAAAAAGATCACAGTGTGACATGTTCTCTGAACAGATAGATAGAAAGCTGCTCAAAGACAGGAAATCATGGTAGGCAAGACTGATCTTCCATCTGCAAAAGAACACCCCATTTAAGTAAGCCTCTCTAATGCACCAGTATGATACAAAGCTGAAATGTGTAGCCCGGATAGTATTAAATGTGTGGCAACCAGTTGCTCAAATTTTCCAAAGAGCACCAAGGATGCCAAAGATGGGCAGTCCTCGAGAAGCTGCTGGTGGAGGCATCCTTTCAGTAGTCACAGAGGATTTTGATAAACACAGATGAAAATGAAGATGACCGAATGGCATTTCACAATGACAAGGGTGTAGCCCAGATTAAATTATTTAAGTCTGTTCCTGTGTATACTATAGAACATGTTTCCAAGTAGCTGATCATTGTCCTGATTTCATGACAAGAACCATAAACATTATTTTCAGTGACATGTCACTTTTAAGATTTGAAAGTATCTTAAATATATGAATAAACAATATCCATGTTGTATGTATGATATACTTAATCTGGGAACAAATCTCAGATTATTAACTGAAGCTTTAAATAAAAATATTCAACTCAACCAAAAGGGAATAGAATATTAAAAATGTCTGTTATTAATACTAATTATGTTTGGTATTCTTTTTTTCTATTTTTCTTTAATATTTATAATTGAAATAGGTAATATTATAGCTGTAAAGAGTAAAGTTAAATATTTTATTATCTCAAACACAATTAAAGAGTCATAGCTTAAATGGCAGCTCATTCTCTAGACCAGATATCTTCAATTAACAGACCACTTAATCGATCAATCTAAAAGTTTTTCGGCAGTCCACAAAAGCTCTTTATCTGCTTTCTCATAAAAAGTTTGTCCTCAAAAAAGTTTTCACTGCTTCCCATTCTGAGTCACAGTCCTTTCTAATTTCCGCTGGTCTAAATGAGATTTATTTAGATTTATTAATTTGGTACAAAGGAACTCCAGTAAGTTTTTAATAATAATTATCATTATCACTGATTAAACTGATATTGTTTGGTCCAGATGGAGTTCTTTTCCTGTCAGCTAGAATGAGCTTGCATTGTGTGGTTATAATATGTTTAGATCCAAACAGGCAGATGGCGGCGTGATTGGATATTGCATGCGCCTGATATTAGTAGCAATGCCTCACCAATGCTTGCTTTAAATAAATTGTGCTCCAAAAGGATCCCCATATTTTTCAAAATAAAAAAATAGACTTAAGACCCTACACATTACAGAGCTTGGACATGGCTGCCTTCACTTCCAAGGATAGACTCTCAGGTGGTATAAGGTTCAGCCAGAGCAATTGTCAGTCAAGTCCAGATTATCAATGAGAGTGTCAATCATTGTAGGTTCTCTCAAGCACTTTCTTCAGAGAGAGAAAACCATTAAGTAACAAGAGTTCTCAGTTAAGGATTTAAAAACTGACTTAAGGGAAGACAGTAACATTTGGTATAATGATTGATTATTTTTACAAAGGAGTTATCTTGGTTAAGAATGTTGAATTTGTAATTAATAGTAGAAAATGAACAAAGTTCCTTTTTTTGAGACAAGGTTTCTCTGTGTAGTTTTGGAACCTGTCCTAGATCTTACTCTATAGACCAGACTGGCCTCAAACTCCTCAAACTCTGCCTGGCTCTGCCTCCTGAGTGCTGGGATTAAAGGTGTGCGCCACTGCTGCAAAGTTCTTAATAAGAAACTTTCTGTAGAAAGGCTTTAGTCTTTAATAGCTTTTCATGTGCACTCAACTCTAAAGAGAAGCCAATGGACCACTGAAGTTTTGAGTGAAATTCAGCAACAAGGTTCAAGGGTAGTCCACTCACATAGTTTCCTCCAGTTAATGTGCTTGATTTTATCTCTTAGTCTGAGGGATTATAATGTGATTGAATAATATATTGTTGTTGTCATATACTACAGCTTTGACCTATTACCCCTTAATTCTTAATATTTGTTCCTATCATTAAGTTGTGAGCCTTGGAAATTCTAGTAAGTAGCATTGATCAAGGAAATATCAATATCCAATAATCAAAATGAAAGAATATAACTACTTAATTCTGTGTGAAGAAATATTAACAAATAGACATATTTCCTTTTTGTGTAAAATGTGGGACAATTTTACATATAATAACATTGTGCTTCAGTTATTCATACAAAGAACATTCAGGTTTCAGTAAATGAGTGAACGTTTTTTAAGGTTAATATTTCAACAAATTCACTTATAAACATTCCATATGATGCACACTCAGGGAGAAAATAGGCTCTATAGACACAACAGAATAATAGAACCACAGAAGCAATCACAAAAAAGATTGTCTGTGTTCTCTGCCTTTCATCTACATTACTAGGATGCAAAATGAAAGGTCACATAGGAACAACACATGTAGAAAAAGAAGTCTGGATCATCCTGTCTCAACCACAGGAATGTCCTAGCTCAGTCGTTAAAGGCTAGGCTCGCAACCAAAATGTAAGTGAACTTTTGAGGGCTACATCTCAATTCTAGCATGACTTCAAATCCCCAAACTGAAACAAGAGAATTTCATTTAGACGGTACAAGAATAAAAAGCAACAGTGAACATGACCTTTTCCCTTCCTTTTCCTTTTCTGCAGGTGGAAGATGCCATAAGTCCTGCACTGGCCGATGCTGGGGACCCACAGAAAATCACTGCCAGACCTGTAAGTATTCCATAGTGAAAAGTGGGAGGTTTGACATGGTTGACTGTTTAGTGATGGAGTATCCTCACAATTCTGATCACCTGCAATGTGAAATGAGCTTGTTTCCATCCAAATAAGCTATCCAAGTCATTTCTTTCAAATTAAACAATACATAATTGCTTCTCAAATTTCTTTGTAGTTTCTTGCCTAATGACCTCTGTAGCACATTTGTCATGACTTTATCTCTGACTTTGAAGATATATATCAGTAAAATTAGGAAATCCAAATACATAAAAATTATATTAATTCAGTTTTGAGTAAACTGGTATTTCATTAAATTTCTGAGGTATTAATATTGCTATTCATGGATTATAAAAAGAGAAATATAAGAAGTACCATGTGCCTGTTTTTTCCAGGCACTGAGTACGACACATAGATGTAAACTATATGAATAATGGGTTTACAATCATGACTGTTAACAACAAATCTTACTCTTGGATTATGCTTCAATTTAAAATTTATTTTAATTATGTGGGGTGTGTGTGCACATTAATGCAGACAGTAGATTCTTGACACATTACCTAATATGAGCATTAACCTGTCATCACTGATAAGATATTGGAACCAAAGCATGCCAGTTATAAAGTTCCGGGCTGGGGAATAGGCTCTGTCCTTGGAGTGTTTGCTGTGAATTCATGAGGCCATGGTTTGATACCCAGCCCTAAATGGGTATAATATCTTCAGAATCTTTAAATTTGTACAATACTTAAAATATATCTGGTATTTCACCAATCTTATGGATAAATAATTTCTTTCAAATTTGAAAACAAAGCTCTCTATGCAAGTAGTAAACTTTTTTCTCATACCTTAAGACCAAAGCTATGAATAGCACAGGATGATAAGAACATGAAATGCAGCTTTTACTAGCATAAAATCAATAGATGACATAAAACGCTGGAGTTTTAAAATGTGCAAATATTGATCCATTAGGCAATTTTGTATAATGCTAGATTAAAATTTAGATATTTCCCATTTACCTCCATTCATGACATTATTTTAATAAAGAAATAACAAAAGCAATTATTATAGTGTAGAGTAGAAAGAGTAAAGAAAGAATAATTCTCAGAGGTAATTTCTTAAATTATTTTTTAAAGTTACATATATCTTCATATTTCAAATTGAAGAAATATAAAAAGAATCACATAAAATTGTCTTCTCACTCGTACCTGCTTTGTTCAGCCACCCACTTGCGGCATACATTGTTCTCCTCTGAAAATAATTTCTGTAGACAAAAGATGTATGTTTATATGCCTGGCCATTCTTCACTCAAACCCACTTACGCTATGTGTTAGTTTTGATGTTCTACTTAGCTTTCTGTTACTGTAAGACATACCTGAATGATAGTAAACGTTAAAGGATAAATGTTCTATTTTGGCACACAACTTTGAATATTTCAGTCATTGAGTGATTGGTCCTATTGATTGAGGGCATGTTGCCAGGCAGCCTCTCATGGCATGGAGGATATGGCAGACAAAATCTGGCGGTATATAGAGGAGAAGCTATACAGAGAAAGAAATCATGGTACAATAATCCCATTGGGGGGAATCCCTTCTAATAATGTAAAATGTCTCAACAATCCTCTCTTCTCATAGTGTCCACTATTTTCAGATGGCACTGTGGGCTGGGAACAGTGTCATTAATAAACTCGGTTTTGAAACATATCAAATAAAAACTATAGCATACAACTTGAGTTTTTTATTTGTAAAATCTATTTAATCTGCACAGTTACTCACAGGTGGATTTTTCCAACACACAGGTACTCTGTTAATGCCTTCATATTATGATATTCTATAAACTTATCACATTCATATACTAATGAATGGTTTTCTTTTTTAAAAAATCTACAGCTTTAAAAAAATAAATTTTTATTTATTTTACATCCCTGCCACAGTTTCCTCTCTCTCCTTTTGTCTCAGACCCTCTCCCCTGTCCCTCCTCTGTTCTCCTCCCAATCCACTCCTCTTCTTTTTCTGTTTAAGACAGGGAAGGTCTCCCATGAGTATCAACAAAACATGGCATATCAAGTTTCATTAATACTAGGCACCTCCCCATGTATTAAAGCTGGGCATAGAGTACCGGTATGAAGAGTGGGGTCCCAAAACCCTGTAAAAAGGTCGGAGACAGACCCTATCCAACTGTTAGGAATCTCAAAAGAGGACCAAACAACATAACTGCAGCATCTATGCATAGAGCCTAGGTCAGTCCCATGCAGGCTCCCTCGGTGTCAGTTCAGCTTCTGCTAGCCCCTATGAGCCTGTTAGTTGATTCTGTGAGTTTTCTTGTGGTGACCTTGACCCCTCTGGTGCCTTTCTCCCCATCTTCTGCAGGATTCCCCAAACTCTGCCTAATGTGTGGCTGTGGGTCTTCATTTGTTTCCATCAGGTGCTGGGCTGGATGAAGTCTCCCTGATGACAATTGGGCTAGACACCAATCTGGTCCCAGGAGATGACCAGTTCAGGCTGCATATTTACTATTGCTAGGACGCTATGCTGGGGTCTTCTTTGTAGATTCCTGAGATAGTCTTTTGCACTAGGGTTTTACCAGACCCTGAAATGCCCCCCTTTCCAGTCATCTCTTTCAGTACTCCCCTAACACTCTTATCTCCCAACCCCATCCCTCAAGTTCTCATCCCCACCTCCTTTCAGTTCACTTATGAAATTTCTTTTGGTTCCCCTTCCCAGGGAGATCTGAATGTCCTCCTCCACCCCATGAACCCTCCTTGTTACCTAGTCTATCTGGGTCTGTGGATTGTAGCAAATCCTTTATTTTACAGCTAATATCTACTAATGATTGAGTATATCCCATGTTTGTCTTTCTCGGTCAGGGTTACCTCACTCCGGATGATTTTTTTTTCTAGTTCTATCTGTTTGCCTTCAAATTTCCTGGGGACCTTGTTTTTAACAGCTGAGTGATACTCCATTGTGTACTGTACCAGATTCTGGCTATTACAAATAAAGCTGTTATGAACATAGTTGAGCGAGTGTCCTTGTGGTATGATTGAACATCCTTTGGGTATATGCCTAAGAGTGGTATAGCTAGGTCTTGAGATGGATTGATTGTCAACTTTCTGAGAACCCACCATATTAATATCCAAAGTGGCTGTACAAATTTGCACTCCCACCAGCAGTGGAGGAGTGATCCCCTTGCTCTACATCCTCTCCAGCTAATGGGTGCCACCAATGTTTTTCTTTAAATATTCTTCTGCCATTTGAGATTCTTCTGTTGATAGTTCTCTGTTTAGGTCTGTACTCCATTTTTTAATTGTATTTTTTTTTATGTCTAGTTTCTTGAGCTCTTTATATTTTTGGAGATCGATTAGATCAGCCCTCTGTTAGATATAGGGTTAATGAAGATATTTTTCCATTCTGTAGGCTGCTGCTTTGTCTTATTGACTGTGTCCTTTGCCTTACAGAAGCTTTTCAGTTCCAGGAGGTCCCATTTGTTAATTTTCAATCTTAGTGTCTGTGCTATTGGCGTTCTATTCAGGAAGTTGTCTCCTGTGTCAATGTGTCAAGACTGTTTCACACTTTTCTATCAGGTTCAGTGTAACTGGATTTATGTTAAAGTCTTTGATACACTTGGCCTTGAGTTTAGTGCAGGGTGATAGATATGGGTCTATTTATATTCTTCAACTTGTTGACATCCAGTTATCTGGCACCACTTGTCGAAGATACTTTCTTTTTTCCATGGCTACCTGACCTTTTCTATCCATGCATGTATGAATGAATTTTCATAGGATTACTTCTTAGAAGTGGCATTTGTAGAGTCACAGACTTGTGATCTTACACTTTGATACAGATCACCAACACAAGATCATATTCTCTGAAACAGTTACTGTTGCCAGGGGAAATATGTGTTAATGCCCATTTTTCAGTTCCTAGTCTAAACAGCATATTAGCAACAAATTTTAGTCTTTATTAAATGCTCTATCTATCTATCCTTTCTATCTATCTATCTATCTATCTATCTATCTATCTATCTATCTATCTATCTATCTATCTATCTATCTATGTATCACCTATCTACATATATATGTATATATCAGTATCTGGTTGTAGATTTAAATTAACTTACTTAATAGAAACAATGTTCTATGGCAGGAAGGGTTTGACAAGAATTTTCAACCAGATCCTAAACTAAAACTAGGTTACTACATGAAATTCATTCACTACGGTATTTGCAAACAATATAAAAGAATTTCAAATTGAATCACATGGTGCTGGGCTGATGTTGACCTGATATCTAAAATAATCAAGAATCAATGCTATGCTTCATAATGATGAAAAAGGGAGATGTGGGAGTCAGTAAAAGAGGTAGATACTGATGGCTTTTTCACAAAAAATAGCTTCTTTGTTGTCAAACTTACAGGTGAACTGTAATCCTGGAGCTCTGCCTAGTGACTTTATTGTTTTATCTTTCCAGGGATGGGGGACAATTTCAGACAGGCTTCCTTATAGCTGCTGGTTGTGTCTGGAGGCCACCAGCAGGACTTCCCACACTTACTATTCATTGAGACTTGCAAAATGCTCTACATCAGATTTTCTTTCTATGCCACCATTGGGCACTTGCCTTCAGTTACCTCTTCCATTATTATCATTATTATTTTTGTTTTAGAGACAGCATTTCTCTATGTATCTGTGGATGTCCCAGAACTCACTCTGTAGACCAGACTGGGATTAAACACAGAGATTTGTGGGCCTCTGCCTTCTAATTGCTGAAATTAAAGTCATGCACCACCACACCCAGCTATTATTTTCAAAGTTTGCTATTCAGTTTGTCAAGATGATGCCAAATTTCCATACTAGAACTCATATATATATATATATATATATATATATATATATATAT